AAAAAAAAAAAATTGACTGCTTACACAACTTTTTCTTTTTTCTTTTGCCTTTTTGAGACAGGGTCTCACTATGCAGCTTAGGCTGGCCTTGAGCTCACTTTGTAGCCCAGGCTGGTCTTGAACTCACTATAGTCCTCTTGCCTCAGTCTCCCAAGTGCTGGGGTTAGAGGTGTGCACCACCATACTGAGCAGAAAAGTCTTTAAACTTACTCCCAAGGTCCTGCTCAGTTTCTCACTTGCCTCAATATTTCCTTCCATTGTTTGAAAACCAAATAAATACAGGGTACTAGGACTAGTCCTTTATCTCAACCCCCAGGGAATCTCAAGTTCAGTTAGAGGAGGTTTTTGATCCTCCTGGAGCCCTCAAATCATACCATTTGTCTCCTTTATTTAAGCTGTTTGCCAACTACTCATTTAGGAGGTTTCAGGCTGATCACTCTAAGATACTGCCTCGGCCTCCCAGGTGCTGGGTGTACAGGCATGCACCACCACAGCTGGCAGACCCTACTTTAACTCACATCTCAAATGCTGCCCTCTGCCTTACCCCCTGCCCTTAGGGACCATCAAGGAGTCTGAGCAGCTAGCAAGTAATCCCTCCTATGGGTGGGTTGGGGCCGATGCTAGGAATCAAACCCAGGGCTTGGTGCATCTGAAACATGCTCCACCACTGAGTCACACCCCTCTACAGCCTACTCTTTCAGAACATGAAGATATTAGAAGCTGGGCAAGGTGGGGCACACCTTGGCAGGAAGACACCAAGTTGAAGCTCAGATTGGGCAACTTGGTAATTTAATGAGAGCCTGGGGGGTGGGGGAGGAAGGAGGGGAGGGGAGAGCCCCAACCTGCATTCCTAAGCAGATCTCCCCATCTGACCCCCTCACACCAGGCTCAGGCAGGGGCTCACCTTTGACATGGGTTGTGATGGGTGAAGTCATCGTGGTGTGGGGTGCCTCCGCTGCAGACTCCAGCTCCTTGAAATTGTTGACTGACAGGATGGAGACTGGCTGGGAGCATCTGACTCTCTGCAGGGAGAGTAGGATGGCTTTTGCAAATGACAGGCTGCTTCTGCTCAGTATCTTGCAGCCTGTGGCCTCTCCCACACTGCAGGGATGAAGGAACCTGGTCCCCACAGGAACACTCTTAGCCGGACAAGGGACCCTTAGAGGACTATTTCTGGGCCACCCCTGGGCTTTGCTGTTGAGAATTTGACTTGAGTAAAGTCCCTGGATTGTTGTAAGACATGGAAGGGCCTCTCCCTCTCCTCATCCCTCTTCCTGCTTTGCTGGAGGCTCCAACTATGAACAGTATGAAGGCGAAAGTGAGAAGTGTCCTCATACAACAGGGTCAGCGGGTGGGTGGCAGGCAGAATAGCAAGAGGGCAGGCCTAAGGGTGGCCCACCATAACCTTCTACACTCCCCCGTTGCCCTCTCTCCCTTGCCCCGGGATCCCAGATCCAGCTTTTCTCTACCTTGGCATAGTAGACATGATTGGAGCAGCGGTACTGAGCAAACTGACAGAAGGACTCGAACCAGGAGGCATAGGGGAGGTCGGAGCAGACTGCGCCTGGGGAGGGTGGCCAGGATGAGAGAGGGCTGAGGGGGAAGGTGGGGCACAGCGAGGTTTCTGCCCTCCCCCCCTGGGGGGGGGAGCATAGGACTTCCGCCAAGTGGGCCCTCACCATCGGGCACCAAGCCGTGATTCTCATACTGGTCCAGCTGGACAATGGTGGGGTTCCTACAGCCGTGGGTGGCGCGGAGGCGGCAAGTGGTCTCCGCCTTCCAAGTGGGGGTGAGCAGGGCGAAGAAGTGCTCATACTCGGTGGAGGAGAGGGGACTGCCTGGAGTTGGGACCGAGGGCGACTCCTGCGGGAGAGCAGGTCCCAGAGGCAGCAGCAGCACTGCGGAGGGGATTCAGACAGATGGGAGGGGCGCACACCAAATCCCCGGTGGGGAGGGGATAGTGGAAGACCTGTGGAAGTTAGGGGCGGGCAGGGCAGGGGTCCCAGGCCCGGCGGATGTTGCCCGCTTAGGAGGCTTGATAGGGGTGGAGGCCAGGTCCGGGGAGACATCGCGAAGGACCTCGGGAGTGAGGAGGAGCAGACCCATCACGATCACCCCGAGAAAGCAGCTGGGAAATAATTTGTGGCGGGGGAGCTCTCAAGGACTGGCGGGTGCGGAGCTCTTACCCCTCAGCAGTGTCAGAATGGAGCCAGCAGCCGGCTGCCCCATGTCCCGGGGAAATCAGAACCTCTAACCGGCCAAACGAGCGTGGTCCGTGGGCCGCACTGCCACGAGGCGCCGCCCACGTCACAGAGGGGTGCAGGCCGGGCGGGGGCTACGCCCTGGGCAACGAGGCCTGGGGCAGGGGATCTCTGCAGGTGGACCTGTTTCACCATTAATGGACCCAAGGGATGGAGACCCGGATGGAGCACAGGCACGGTTCTGGGGCAGCTGGCGGTGCAAGGCACAAAACAGGCAGAAGCCAGGCACAAACTCATAAATCCCAGCACTGAGGCTGAGGTAGGAGGTTCTCCCAGTTTGATGCCAGCGTGAACTACATAGCAAGACCATTCTCAAACCGCCCCCCCCCCCACCCCCCCCCCCCCCCCCCCCACGGAGGGAGGGAAAGACAGATTAGACCACTTGGGAGAGGCAGGTAAAATTTAACTCAACTTTGACTTGGTAGTATCATTCAGAAAAATAGAAGCTTAGAAAAGCAAAAATTTGGGTTCAATCCCCAGCTGCTGTGCCGGCCCCACCCCCAGGGCGTGCTGAGGTGGTGACTGAGATTGGGTGCGGTGCTGCATGCCTGTAACCCCAATGCTTGGGAGGCTGAAAACAGGAAGGATCACTAGAGTCTGAGCTGTGTAGTGACACACTGTACTAAATACATTAAAAAAGAAAATTTGGTTCAACCAGTCACCCTCACCTGCTTGGTCCCCTTCTGCTCGAGCACCTTTATTCCACCTCCTAAGCCCAAAGCTCTGTAACCCAGACACCCAGAGCAACAGCCAGTCACAACTGGATTGTATTAACCTATAATCCTTCACTTTATTAACTTATTTTATGGGTAGTTTAGATATATACCTATACTCCATGTATCTTTTCTCCACCCTCCTCCTCTCCCTTTAGCCCCTCTTCCCCTTCTTTACAAATTTTTAAGCCTTCACTTTTTTTTTTGGTACCAGGAATCGAACTCAGGACCTTATACTTGCTGGGCAGGCATTGTGCCACTGACCTACACTCCAGGCCCACTTTACACATTCCTGAGGTTGGTTAGGCTGGTTATCTGGTTGGTTTATCTTCTTTGAACCAAACACCACTGGAAACACATTCACAAGAGTGGGTGCTCAGGGTCCCTGAAGTGGTTGAAAAACAAGCAGGGCACTCCATGAAAGCAGGGGAAGAAGATATATTGTTTCATATATTTAACACAGACACATCACTGCCTGGAAATGGAGAGGCCGCATGCAGGAAAATGCCCACCACCGGGCCCTGGCGGTGCACCCATCTGCTCTGCCCGGCACAGGCCATTCTGCAGATGTGTCTAGGTACCACTGTAGCCACCTGTCTGCTCCACTTCCAGGGTGCCATCCTCCCCATCCTCCCCTTTAACTGGCCCACAGAACACATAGAGAAGCTGAGCATGTGTCAGGCATCACGCAGCAGTCTATAATAAACACAGCAGGCAAACACAGAGAGCTTTTATTTATCTACCAAACTCCTTTTACACGGGAGTTATCTGCATCTCACTTCACCCCCTTCTCCCACACACAAGGCCAAGATAAGTCCCCTCAGGTGTCCTTTCAACTAGGGCCACAGCCCGGATGATCTGGGGGACCCTCCCCATGGGAAACAGGAAGAGTAGGGAAGGTGTATTACACATCTAGCCACTGTGGGGGAGGAGCTTCAGGCGGAGGAGTGCCCAGTGTTACTGCCCTGTCCTTAAATCCAAAGCAAGGGGAATGAAGAGGACCTTCCCTCTGAAATACAGCACCAACCTCAGCATAGAGGCACAGGACAGTGGGCAAGGCGGCACCCCTGTGAAGGGGACAGCTAGAATGAGGGCACATGCCATAGGTGGCCGTGGCACCCTCCCTGCAGGGTTTGGACACAGCCTTGGCACAGGGGTGGGGAGCGAGCAGCCAGGAGAGGGGGTGACAGCACAGCTCCGCCCACTCCTCCCAGCCCCCTGGCCCAGTACACGCCTCTGCCCACCAGCCCAGCTCAGGAGATGTGAAGAATCTGCGAAGAACCCAAGGTGTCATCTACTTTTTCTTCCGCTCTTGGGAGCAGCGTGGACAGAACCTGGAAGGCAGGCCAGGGAGACAGTGACCGAGGGGACAGCGCCCTCTGCCGCTCAGCTGTAGAACGGCCCAGCTCCCCGGATGCACCACTCACCATTTCCCCCGGGGCTTGGTGGTCAGCCCCACACAGGCAAAGTGGAACCACTCGATGGAACACTGGAAAAGGAAGGAGGAGATGCAGGGGTCAGGACCTCGGGCAGATGGAAGGAAAAGAAGCGGAGCAGACTCCTTTAGCACCCCTCAGTTGCTCTTTGGAGACTTCTTAAAAGACCCAAGGCCACCCAGCTCCAACCACTGTCCCTTTTTTCGGATGGACTCTCACTATGCTGCCCAGCTGCCCCAAACCCAAGATCACCTGGGTGCAACTAATCTCTCCACCCCAGTTTCCCAAGTACAGTATTAGAGATGCACACCCTGGGCCTGGCTTTCAGTCATCTCTTAAATCCTGTCTTCAACCATGGCCACCTCACTTTATACCCACTCTCTCGTGCCTCTCCAAACCCCTCACCCTGAGGCAAAAGGGCGCTCACATCGGGGTTGTCGCAGCCGATCATCTCTCCGTAGGAGACCTGGTGACAAAGGCAATAGGTGGGCTCGTTGGGATCCACAGGCATATCCAGCACATCTGAGGGGTGGACACTGCCAAAGGTCACCGAGGGCATCCCATACTCGGGACTTCTGCGTGCCAAGAGGGAGGGAAAGTGTCATCTGTGGCTGGAAGCTGCCATGTGAGGCACTCACAGCAGCAGGGGAGTGCCTGGAGGGGCATGGGCTGGGGCTCCTTCTCTCCCCAGCAGACACCAAATGGAAGAAGCAACCAGCACAAAAGACAGGACAGTGAAGACTGTGCAGGTGGCATTTGTGTCAGGAGAGGAGAGCACAGAAGACATGGCAGAGGACAGCAGCGAACACACTCACGCGCGCACGAGCTTTAACTTCTTCTGGGCAGCTTTGGGGGCTTCCTCATCTGAATTTTTGCCTTTGGAGCGAGCACGTGCAGCTTTCTTCTCCTTCTGAGTCCGGCCTTTTGGGGGAGAGGGGGGAAGCCAGAAGGCCGAGACGGGAAGATAGGTTAAGGCCTCCTTCCTCCCTCTCCAGCCAGGGCTCCTCCCACAGGCCCGCTGCATCTTCTCGGAGGTCCTCGCCCGCTGTGGCCCGCCCCCCTCCTCACTCTTTTTGCCTTTGCTAGAAGAGCTGTCATAGTCACTTGACTCGATCTGTTTCTCCTTCAGGTCTGCCTCAAAACGGGCCAGGTCTGTGTCCAGCCGCCGAATGTGCTTGTCCACCTGGGGGCAGGGAAGAGGAAGGCAGAGGTGACTGGCAGGTCTGAGGCAGCAAAGCAGTGGAGATGGAGTCTATGCATCTCCCAGACCCACAAGAATCCCAGCGCAGATGAGGAGGGGTCGAAGAGACGCGAGGGAGCGGGGTGCAGTGGGCAGGGCCATACCATCTCATAGGTCTGCATGGCAAGCTGCACCTTGTCATCACCAAATTCCTTGCACTTGCCGTAGGCCTCCTGGATCTGTCTGAGCAGGGCCAGTTTCTCCTCAGAGCTCAGACTGCGGGCACTGCTCATATACTCAGTGGCCAGCTTGTCAATTTCAGCCTTCAAGTCTACAACAGAGACAGGCCTGATCACAGTGGCCCCAGCAGCCAAGCAAGCAGACTTTTCCCTCCTTCCTCAGACCTCTTTCACGAATCACCGTAACCTTTAGACTAAAACGTATCAAATGTGCCACATACCAAGCTGTGCGCTGAGAGGTGACTGACACTGACACTAGGTGTTTCTAAGGTGCCTTCAGGGTGCTGAAATGCTGCTAGGACAGTTGGAACTTAATTACTGCCACACACTGCCAGACTCTACCACAGTGAGAGGAAGCACATTCTGGTGGATATCTGCAGGACCTGCAGCTTCTTGACAAATTATTTTGTTCCAAAGGCCATCTTGTTTCTTGTCTCAAAAACATGCTACAGCAGCGCTGCCTATTGTGAACCAGGCCCGGTTGGTTGCTGCTCTGGTTCCTAGGCTTCAGGATTTCAGCTGAGCCTACTTAGCACTGCCCGCCCCTCACCTGAGATTTGCTGCTACTTCCCATCATTTTTTACACTGCTCCCAACAGTTTCATACTGGAAGGCTGCTAATATCCCAGGACCCCACCTATGGCTGTCTGCCCCCCATGTCTGCTAGGCTTATGATAATGTCAACGACAAGAGGCAAAAGTCTGTTCTAACAGCAAAGTGGTGGCTAAGCACCTAAACCACATGAAGATAGTGGCACCTTCATTCCAGGCCTTTGGAAGCAGCTGAAAGGCACGTAATTTATCTTTCCCAGTTGGTCTCTGGACATAGACTCAGGAGGCAGAACTGAGCTGGGTGTCAAGTTACACACCTCAGGCCCGGGCTACTCAGGAGACTAAGGCAGAAGGATCACAATTTTGAGAGATCTAGGTAACTGTAAGGCCTTGTCTCAAAATTAATCAATAAAAAGGGATGGGATACAGCTCAGGGCTCCCTGGGTTCAATCCTCACTGCTACCAAAAAAAAAAAAAAAAAAAAAAAAAAAAAAGCTAGGTGTGGTGGCACACACCTCTGACCCCAGTACTGTGGGAGGCTGAGGCAGGAGGATCGTAAGTTGGAGTACTGCATAGAGAACTTAGTGAGCTACTATTTCCACATGGTCAGGGTGCTGGCTGAGCATGTACCCCAGGGTAAGGGCCCTGTACTCAATTCCCGGTATTGTGAACAAACAACAAGTTCTTGTTTTTTTAAATTTGAGGCCAGGTCTTACTCTTAAGCCTTGAACTTACTGCAATCCTCCTGCTTCAGCCTCCCAAGTGCAGGTATTAGAGGCATGCATGACCACACCCAGCCTAATAAACACAATTTTTTAAAAAGACTGGGGACATCAATCAGTGGGGAGTCTTGCATCGGATGAAGGCCGCTGGGTTTCACCATGTGGCAGGCAGGGCTCGGGCTGGGCCCTCCTTGTGAGTGAGCTTATGGCACAGCTTCTGGCGGGCAAATGGCTGTTTCACTTGGAGTGGGGCTACTCAGGATGGAAGGCTGACTCTCTTGCCCTCCAGGCTTTGGGGCTCCAAGTGAAGGCCTCACTGCTCAGGCTCTGAGGCCTGAGATGATTTGGTTTCTATCAGGCTGAAGAACACATTGTAAGGTCCTGATGTTAACTAGTGCCTTTCTTCTGCTGCTGTGGCAGCTGTATTTTTTTTTTTTTTTT